GTCTCATTGCTCCCACTTTCTGCCTTCCAAGGCAGCAAGAACAGAGTGGGTCCAAGCCAGGGCCTGCTTGTCCCTTGCAGGCAGGGAGGAGGGCTTGGGTCCTTGGCCACTCCCCTGGGGCCTGGAAGGGCCGGGTCAAAGAGCCTTGTCCCCACCTCTGACTGTCCTCTTGGTGTCAGCAAGGGCTCAGCTTCAGTCCTTCACACCTTACACACACGGAGCAGGAGAGGAGGCTGCCAGACCTCTGAATTCACCAAGAGCCGGACACACTGCTCACTCGGATCCTGCCAAGGCTGCCAGGAGAGGGCGCTCCTGACCATCGGTTGGGCTGTGGGTTATCCCTGCTGATCTTTTTTTTTTTTTTTTTTTTTTTTTTTTTTTTGGTACCGGGGATCGAACTCTGGTGCTTGCGCTTGCTAGGCAGGCCACTGAACCGCTGAGCTAAATCCCCGGCCCCCTATCCCTGCTGATCTTGCCTGCCGTTCTCAATCCTCAGAAGCCTGCAGTCAGGAACTTCTAATATCTTCCTGTACCAGCTCGGGAAGCTGCAGCCCAAGGTCTGAGCGAGCTATTCAGTGGTGGCTGTGGGAGGCCCAGATCCATTGCACTGACGTGCTCTCCCTAGGACGTGCTAGGAAGGCTAACGGCACAGCTTTAGATGCAGAGGTGCAGATGACTCCTTTTCCTCACTCCTATTTTAGGGAACTGAGGTTGTGCTCTAGTCTCCAGGATGTTATGATTTGGTCTTGTTTCCCAGCCTCAACTCTCAGGTCAGTGAGAAGAGTTACCTTCCTAAGGGGGCTCAGCATCTTAGGCACAGACGGTAAATAGCAGAAGAGTTGCCCGCTCCCCGGGCTAACCAGGCTGGGCTGCTGTGTCAGGCCTGGCAGCATGGTGCCCGCGGTTCTCATTGCCTCTCTGTCACCCTGTTGCTCCCTAGCACATCACGCCAGTCCTAGGCGCACGCTGCTACTGCCTGCTGTCAACATTCTCGGTCTGCTTTCTTTGTTTTAGGTCCTCTCTCCCTAAACCCTATGCCAGGGATCAAACTCAGGGCCTTGCACCTGTGAGGCAGGCTCGGCACCACTGAGCTACATCCCCGGCCCTATTTCAGATTTCCTTGAGACAGGGTCTTACTATGTAGTTCAGGCTGGGCTCGAACTTCTGTAGCCCAGGATCGCAACCCTCCTGCCTCAGCCACTGAGTGTTGGGATCACAGGCGTGTGTTAGCATGCCCCAGCTGAGTTTTATTGTTGTTTTTTTGTTTTTTTGCTTTTCCCTGTGTACTGAGGGTTAACTCTAGGTGCTTTGCACTGAACTGCATTCCCAGGCTTTTTTTTAAAGGGAGGAAAGGTCTATGTAGCTCACAGTTTGTAGAGGTTTCAGTCCATAATCGGCTAGCCCCAAGGCAGGGTGGCATCACAGAGAACAGTTTACAGACAGAAGCAGCACAGCAACAAAGGGACCTAGACTGACCTTTGAAACAGGGTCTCACTAAATCACTAAGTTGCCCAGGCTAAGCTGAATTTGTGATGCTCCCAGCGTGCTGGGATCACAGGTGTGCACCACCACATCTGGCTGGAGTTGGCACTTCTTTATCTCAGCACATAATGGTCCTCACTGAGGACTCTGATTTAATTGGTCTGAGGTGGCAACCCAGCAGTGATCCAGCGCTCTCATCAGAGGAAGGTGGAAGTTATGGCTGGGGCTGAGGCCCTAGCCCGTCCTCCCTGTTCGGCTTCTTCCATGATCTCGGCCCCCGCCCATCTCTGCAGGGCTAGCAGAGCCTGGAGGCCTGGGCTTTTGAGGCCTCTTTGAAGTCCTCTCCTGGCAGGCAGGGCCCACAGGACAGGGCGAGCGACGGAGGGCAGGCTAAGGCAGGCTGGGCCTGGAGCTACACAATACTTGCTCAGGAAGGAGGAGAGCCTGGCAGAAAGGCTTTTGTATTTTGTGGCCCTTGTGCCTGGTTTCCAGGGTGACCTTGGACACTGTGGTTTCCTCAGAAAGGGGGGCCAAGAGGATGGCCAATTACCATCCGAATGGAGCCGTTTCCTGGGCCAATGGGAAGTGTAGGTAGGCAGACTTGGGCTGGGGAGGTACAGCGCTCTGGGTGAGCTGGGGATCCCCTGGCTGCCTGGCAGGCCCAGCAAGGGCCACTCCTATTCCCACGGCCCCTTCCCAAGGTGGCAGAGGGGCCTCGTGGCTGCCAGGCTTGTCGGGGGGAGGCCTGCCGCAGGGCACTAGGTCACGCCTGGTGCTGGAGAGCCGCTCCACTCCACTCCACTGGGGCCGAGCACAGGGCCAGGGCTCCCAGGCAGGTGTGGCCCTGCTGGTCAGCCTCAAGGCCGCTGCCCTTTCCTGGCACCGCATGCCACTGCTTCTCTGTGCACAGAAGCCATCGTGGATGACAGCCTGCTAGCCTGAGTTGCAGCCACTGATGAGCCCCTGCTGCCGCACCCCCAGCCAAGAGACACAACACTGGCCCCTCACTAAAGCCCAGCCTCATCACTACGGCCACCTAGAGCGACATCCTCTGCACTGCACTTGGGAAGCACGCTGAGTCCCTTCCCCATCAGTGCGAAGTTCTACAAGGCCACTGCCCTTGACAGCAGGCGGGCGGGGGCCCAGGGCTGAGTTCCAGCTCTCTGGTCCTCTCCTGCTTCTGCAGACCCACATTCTAGGAGTTCCCGCTCCTTCCCTTTCTAAGTGTCCCTTTGTAAAGTGTTCCTTGTGCGGTCACCTCTTCGCTGGGCTAAAGCCACTCAGCCCTCTGACGGCCCACAACTCAGCTCCCTGGACTCCCGGCGTGGAGGTCCACTGCAGGAGGGTGTCACAGGCTGGCCCAGGCTGCCCTGACAGAGCCAGGGGAGGCCAGCTTCCTCTGTGAGCCTCCTGTGGCTGCTGCTGTATCAGTGCCACATCCAGTGCTGCCAAGTCCTCTGCTCCTGCCTCTTCTCCAGAGTCCGACCCTAACCTAAGTGCCCTCTGCCCCGAGTTCTTAGCAAAGGGCCCTGTGCTCTGCCCAGGTAGCAGCCATTCGGTGGGCAGCGCTGTGGCCTGACTGGGTTCCCTGGGAGCTGGGGAAGCAGGATGGAAAGGTTAATGACATCTGGGCCCCACTCTGTGCAGGGACCCGGCAGTAAAGACAGAGGCCTCCTCACAGTGGGGGGAAAGCCCAGCCTGGACTCCAGCCTTAGTCCCCTCCCCAGCCAAGGGGCACCAGACGCCTCTGTGGAGAGAGCAAGAGATACTGGGCCGCAGCCCCCTGGTTGTGATCCCAATGTGGCACCATGCCAAGGATGGAGGATGGGGACAGTTCTGACTCCCTGCAGAGGCCCCCAGAGCCGCTGCCACTGGACGGGGGAGTGGAATCTTTCCACCCACCCCAGTGCATTTCAGAAAGCAGAGCATCAGCGATGGAAGGGCAGCCAGGGACAAGCAAGAACCTGCACTCTGCTGTCCTGCTCCTCACCTGAACCTGCACGGGCCCCAGCCGGGCCCCTCACTACCTCAGCAGCATGGTGCACCCCTGCCGCGGGGCAGCCAGCGCAGAGGAGCCCAGAGTGCCGGGACACATGGAAGAGGGAAGGCCGTGGGGCTGCCCCATGCGAGGGCAGAGGTGCAAAGAATGAAAGGGAGAAGGGAGAGGGAGGTTTTGGAGGGAGGAGTGTGGGACCCTGGTCCTGGGTGTGGTATTCGGGAGGACTCAGGCTGTCCCCAGGCAGTTGAGATATTGTGAGGCTTCCCAGAAGCCACCAGCCACCCCTGTGGCAGAGGTGTGTGTGTCCGGAAGGCGGACTGACAGCAGATCCACCAGCAAGCTGCACAGTGCTTCAGGCTCGGGGACCATGGAGAGGTGACCCTTGCAGAGACAATGTCCACTCAAGGAAAGGGCCACCGGTGGAGAGCCCTGGAACATGGTTGATCCCGTCGCATCTCTTTGTATAGAGGGAAAGGTGGCAGACCCCAGCCCAGCGTGGCCACTGGGATCCTCCAAACGGGTTTCCAGAACAATCTTGTCACTGGGGCAGAGGTGACACTGGAGCAACAGTGTAAAGAAAGGCCATGTGTGTACATGGGGGAAGGACATGGGATGGCTAACACTTTCGAGCTCCCATCCCTGCAGCTGCCACCAAGCGAGGAAGAGGCCCTAAGGTCACTGCCTGCAGCACCACCAAGTCATGACGCTGCTAACCCAGCCCAGGAAGCAGCCACCTGTCCTGCTTGGGGCAACACCACTGTGCAGAAGTCCCTGCCCAGCCTGGTCCTTTGGAAGGGACAGCACTGAGCCTGTGGAGACAGCCCCCACCAAGGCCTGAGCGCTGAGACCCCCCCGCACAGGATGCCAAAGTGAATCCCACAAACCCCCAGCCACCTTTGGGAGGACCCATCCGCCTGAGGTGGAGAATCTGAGGTCCTGCCCTGAGACTGAGGCAGGACCCTCGAGCTCCAGCACAGGGTGCTTTCTCCATCCTCCAGCTGGGAGCCCCAGCCTGCAGGCAGGAGGAAGCCATGCTGCAAGCCCTTCTGAGGCTGCAGCCAGCACTACCTCTAACACCCTCCCAGCCCAGCAGCTGCTGTTCATGGACGCGATCAATCAAGGACCACAAGAGCATGTGTGTCTGGCTTTGGGTGGGTAGGGACTTGGTACCCGCTCCGCCTCAGGAAGAACCCTGCCATTCCCGGGGAAACCAGTCTGACCGAGGGCCTGCTGCCATCCTACAGCCTCCTTCTGCCCGGGCCCACAGAAGCAGCGGCCACCCTGCAGCCACCTCTGGGGCTGTGGCCTGCTCCCTTTGCATGTGGCCCCAAGGGTTAGTCGCAGCAATGCCCTGCAGCCCAAGTTTTCCTCTTCCTCTCTAGGATGGTGCCAAAGCAGCCCACTCCTCAGAACAAGGCCTCCTTCTCCTCCCCTTCCGCACACGGGCGTCTTCCCTGCTTCCACCCTCCATACACAGGCAAGAACGTGGGTAAGACCAGCACAGTAGCAGACAGTTGTGTCCCACGCTGTCCCCAGACAGCTAGCTTTATTCAGGCCCAGTCCTGCTCTCCCAAAGGGTTTCCCAGTGTCACTTCAGTCTCCTGCAGTCACCAACCAGCAGACCGCCCCACAAGGCTGTGGTGACCCCAACGCTTGACTTCTGGTGTCACCCCTCCTGTCACTGGGCTCCAAGTCTGTCCAGGGACTTCAAAGCATAGCTACCAGTTTGAAGGTGCCTTCTGGCTTGGCAGGAACCACGTGGACGAAAGTCTTGTAGAGGACAGCACCCTTGGGCAGCCTGCTGACCAGATCCACAGCCTCCAGGTCAGTGGGCTTGGGCACGTAGACCTCTTTAGTGTAGCGGACTATCCCCTCCTCCAGAGCATACAGGCACTTCCTCTTCCCCAGGCCCACCTGCAACGAGACCTGGTCAGGGGGACACAGTGCCCGCCCAGTGGCCTGTCCCAGGGCCTCAGGACAGACTCTCCTCAGCACAGGCCCCAGGGCCATATCAGGTTGTCCTGCCCACTGCCTAGCCTTCCTTGCCGACTCCACAACAGGAGGATCGCTGTGAGTTCGAGACCAGCCTGGGCTACATAGTGAGTTCCAGGTCAGTCTCAATTACACAGTGAGACCCTGTCTCAAAAAACCAAAAAAGAAAAAAGGCTGGGGATTTAGCTCAGTGGTTCTGGGGCCCGCCTTGCAAGCGTAAGGTCCCAAGTTGACTACTGGTGCCAAAAAAAATCACCAACAGGCTAGAGTAGTGTGCTTGCTTGGCACATATGAGGCCCTGGGCTTGGTGCCTAGAACCACAAAACAGACACACACCCCCACAGACACACAAAGAAAACTAAACTAACATTTAAAAATAAGATAAAGAGGGCAGTACAGTTCTATCTTAACCTCATGAAGTAACCCCAACTTGCTGACAATGAAATTTCCACCTGGCATGGATCTAATTTCTGGTACACATGCTGAACTCTATTTTATTAAATTGAAGTTGTCTTTCAACTACATGAGAAGTCTATGCAACAGAAAAATTCTTGGAAGTTACAAAGTGTCTCATCCTCTAAGAACTGAGGGTTAGAAAAACACCATGCTAGCCAGGGATTTAGCTCAGTGGTTCTGCCGCCTGCCTTGCAAGCGCAAGGACCCAAGTTGGAGTCTCAGTACAAAAAAAAAGGAAAAACAGCATGCTAACACCATGCTAAGGTAAAACATAAACACAGTCAGACTCCCAAATCACTATACTTCTAAGAACTGGGGATTCAGCTCAGTGGTTCTGCCGCCTGCCATGAAAGCGAAAGGTTGCAGTTCGATCTCCAGTATTAAAAAAAAAAAAAAATTATACTTTTTTTTTCAGTACCAGGACCTTGTGTTTGCCAGGCAGGTGTGGTGCCACCAAGCTAAATCCCCAGCAAATCACTATAGTTGTTGTTGATGGGTTTTTTTGTTATTGTTTTTATATTGTTTTGTTTTTGGTACCAGGGATTGAACTCAGGACCTTGCATTTGCAAGGCAGGCGGCAGAACCACTGAGCTAAGTCCCTCGCCCAATGTTGATGTTTTTTTAGTAGAAAAGGTATTGAATTTGATTCTACTAAAATTTAAAAATTCCTTCCCTTTGAGCATAAAAATAAAAATGTCTACACTATTCAGAGGGTAGATCAATAAAACATTTAAACTGAGCGTGGTGGCGCACACCTATAATCCCAGCACTCAAGAGGCTGAAGCAGGAGGATGGATCTATATGAGCTCAAGGCCAGCGGGAGGTACACAGCAAGACCCTGTCTCTAAATAACTAACTTAAGGGCCGGGGATTTAGCTCAGTGGTTCCGCCACCTGCCCTGCAAGCATAAGGTCCCAAGTTCGATCACTAGTACCAAAAATAAATAATTTAAATAAATGTAAAACATTTAAAGCTGGGGAAAGTGGTTCACACCTGTAATCCCAGCGACTTGGGAGGATGAGGCAGGAAGAGTGCAAGTTCAAAGCCAGTTTAGGCAACTTAGTGAGACCCTGCCTCAAAAAAGGCTGGCAATGTAGCTCAGGGGTAGAGCACTGGGTATTGATTGAGCCCAGTACCAAAGGAAGGTCATCAGTGAGAACTACAAATGTATGGTCATCAGTAAGAACTCTGCCATCTTCAGATTACCTAAAGCTAATTGCTTCTCAGTCCTCAGACAGCTGCAGTTGCCCCATCTATCACATATAACTCACTGCCACTTCCCAATGAAGAGAAAATGAGGCCTAGGACATACCATCATCTAATGTTAGGAAAGCTAACTGTCCCTGGGCCTGCCACAACCAAGGTCTCTGACACTTTGACCCCCACCTTACAGGGACATGAGAAAAATGACTCATCATGGGCACAGGAATGGGCACACTTAGCGTATGTGAGCGTGCAATAAATGTAACTGTTACTGCTGTGCTGGGGTATAAAAGGGTCATCCTAGAAAAGAGGGGACACAGAGCAACTCACATGGGCACCCGGGTGCCAGCGGAACTGACGCTGAGTCCCCAGGATGTTGCCAGCATGAACGTAGTGACCTAGGAGAGAAGTCCACAGGTGTGCTGACTCAGAGCCCCAGGGACCGTGGCAGCCCAGCAAATCACCAAGGAAACCCGACAGCCTGAGTGCTGCACAACAGCCGCTGAGCAGCACCTGTCTCTGTGGCTGAGGCCACACCTCCCCGTTCCTCCCCAGACCCCCAGCCCTGCTCAGGTCTCATCTGCTCTTCGGCCTGCAGACAAATGCTACGACAAGCTGAGCAGAGTACAGGATGGCGCCTGCGTGGTCTCCTGCTCTTCTACGTAAGGCTGGAGCGGCCAGGCAGTGTGCAGCCTGGCACATCCTCACCTTCCATTTTCTTGATGCCAAAACGTTTGCCTGGTGACTTTCCACCAAGGTTTTTGGAGCTGCCACCAGTTTTCTTCGATGCACATCTAACAGCAAGAGCTGCAGCCGGAGGAGGGCTCAACAGGGCTGAGACTACAGAGAGAAGAAACACTGCTCAGAGAGGCTCCCAGCAGACTTGCTCTGTCGTCATGGCCCCTGTGCTCAGCGGAGAGATGCCAAGGGAGGTGAGAGAGATGGTGGCCAGGGCAGAGATAGCATGTGTTGCTTTTCAGGAATCCCTAGTACTAACAAGAAATGTTTTAAAAGGGCCGGGGATTTAGCTCAGTGGCTCTACCGCCTACCTCGCAAGCACAAGGATCAGAGTTTGATCCCCAGTACCCCCCGAAAAGTTTTAAAAAAGGAAAATGAACAAAAACTCAGGCTGACATGGAAGACACATACTTGTATGACAAGCCTAAGGTTGACAGTTTTGGCCTTCAGGTCTCCAGACACAGCCATGGTTGGAGGACAAAGCCACGGTCCTTAAAGCAGCTTTGCAGGGGTCTGGAGTCAAGTTCAGAGTCCCCAAAACCTAGGTTTCTGAAGTTTCCATGGGAACAAAAAGCATCTGGGATGATGAAGGCCCAGAGTGAACCGGCACCAGGTTCTACCTACCTTTATGCATCTCCATTTCCTCAGAGTAGTATGCTCTAGCTCCATGGTCTCATTTCTAAATCTCTCTTCTCCCAACTGCCCATCTTTCATTTCAAAGTAAATGGTGCTGAGATTTAGCCAGCTGCTCAGGCAGAAACCAGGAAACTGCAGATTCTCTTTGCTTACCTCGAATATCCAATTCATCAGCAAGTTCCATGGATGCTAGCTCCAAAGCAGAACTCAAGTCTATCCATTGCTACCACTAATACCTTGGCTAAATCACTGATCTTCAGTGAAGGCTTCCTGTGTGGTTTCACTTTCATTTGTATCCCCCCCACACTTTTTATTTTTCTGAAACAGTGTCACTATATGGTTCAGGCTGGCCTTACATGCACTATATAGGTTTGCCTGGGCTCAAATGTGCAATCCTTTGGAATGCTGGTATTCCAGGTGTGTGCCACCCACACCCAGTGTGACCCATTAAATTTTTTTTTTCCAGTACTGGGTCTCAAACCCAGGACTTCCTGCATACTAAGCAGGTGCTCAACCTCTGAGCTACATCTTCAGTCCATTCCCGTTTTGTTTTGTTTTTTGTGTTTTTTTTGTGGTTTCTTTGTTTGCTTTTTGTGGGGTGTTTTTGGTATTTTTGAGACAGGGTCTTACTATGTAGTTGAGACTGACCTGGAACTCACTATGTAGCCCAGGCTGGTCTCGAACTCACAGCGATCCTCCTGCCTCAGCCTCCCACGTGCTGGGATTACAAGCATGCGCCACCACGCCTGGCTCGTCTGTAATTTAAATTTATATAAGAGCAATAGTTTACACCATAAAATGTAAAACTGGATCAAATTATTCTCCTGCTCCCGCGCAGGTCAGACCTCCTCTCTTCCTTTAGGTGTTAACTCAGGTTTTATGTAAGAGGATTTGCCTGACCATCCACTCTAAAAAGGACACAAACCCAGTTTTTGTCTTTCTTCACCAGAATTGTCACGATTTCCAACTATTTTATTTCTATCTTCGTGGCTTATCTACCGTGCTGAAGCTGGAAACCTGTCCTCATGTTTTTTGCTGATAGAATGAACATCCACAAAGACAGGCCTAAACTTGTGAAATAAGAAGGTAACCTTTCTGAGCCCAGACGTTGCAATTAGCAAGCAGGAGAGACCCACAATTACCCACAATCACCCACAAAGCGGAAGTGGCCTGAGCTCCCGAGGCGGGGGAGGACTCGCGCTACCCCCGCGGCTCCGCCCCGGACGCGCCACCTGACGGCCGACAACTGGCCCCTCAACTCTCGCGTGCTCGTCCACAGCCCCCTCCGTGCATCCAGGGTCAACCACGGGGGTCGGCTTTCACCCCCACGGTCTCCCCTCCGGTGCGTCCCACTATGGCTACTGCATCCCATTACCAGCTGCGCGTGTCCTCAGCGACAGCACCGCCGCTGCCATGTTGGCCTCCCGGCCGCTTCCGGTCTGGAAATTCTACTTCCGCTGCCGGGAGATCTGCTTCCGGGTGCCTGCTGGCCGTTGAAAGAGTGGCGCGAGAAGTTGTAGGTGGGTCCTGGGCCTTGTGCAGGTCGAGGCTGGCGTCGCGAGCACTGTCGCGCAGGGGCGTGATGACTGGGGACTCTCGCCGTGGGCCGCCAGCCTCAGAGGGGCCCGCTTGTCCCACTGCCCGGTTTTGTAGGAGTCAGCCGAGATCAGGGAGAGGACAGGGACGAGGTCCCCGGCCTGGCATAGATCCGGAAAACTCAAGTGATCTCGCAGAAATGTGCAGTGGATTGCTCATGGCACCGCTGTTTATCATAGCCGAAGGGGAAAGAGACGAAATTGTTCCTGAAGCGATGAACGGACAAGCAGAACATGTCAGATCCGTACAGTGGAGTCGTACAGGAGGCTAAGTGGGAGAAAACGGGAACAAAAGGATACATACTGTATGATTCCACTTATATGAAATAACCAGAAGAGCCGAATCCATAGAGGCGGTAGATCTTTGCTTGTCAGGGCCTGGGGGAAGGAAGAAACGGGCAATGACTGCTTAGTTACTGTAGGACTTCTTTTCTTTCTCTTTTTCTTTTTTGTCTCTGCACAAAAAGAGTGATAAAGGATAAACTGTTTAAAATGAGGAACATTATGCAAGTTGTACGTCAAGTTTAAGTTTATTTTTTATCTTTATTAAATTTATTGGTACATTTAAAGCAAGCATTACAGTTACATTCATCATTGGGATCTTGTACCTTTACATGATGTATCTTGGTTCTTATTATTCCCCATTCCCCAGCCCTCCCTTTAGCCCCTCCACCCTTCCCTATTTACAAAGACATTGTTTACATGTTTTTCCTTTTCACATGTTTTTTCTTCTCCCTTTTCACCTTTCCCCTACCCTTCCCACTTCCTCTACTCTTTCAGGCCTTTTCTTCCTATTACACAATATCAGTTGCACATTGTGATCCTTATTTATTTATTTATTTTGGTACCGGGGATGAACTCAGGTCCTTGCACTTGCAATGCAGGCAGCAGAATCACTGAGCCAAATCCCTGGCCCTTGGTCCTTACTTATACTTTTAGATTTTTTCACACCAGAGATTTTTCACGTGGTATTTACACATGTTTGACTTACTAATTTCACTTAAGAGTATGGCCTCAGGGCCAGGGATTTAGTTCAGTGGTGCCACCGCCCGCCTCACAAGCACAAGGACCAGAGTTCAATCCCTGGGGGGGAAAAAAAAAAAAGTATGGCCTCAATGTGCATTCACTTAGTTATAAATATCTCTACTTTATCGTTCTTTATGGCTGAGTAGTACTCCATTTTACTTAAGAAACATCTTTTTTATCTAGTCTCCAGTTGATGGGCTATTGGGCTGTTTCCAAATTTTAGCCATTACAAACTGCTGTTATAAACATGGGTGAGCATAAATCACTGTGGTATGATTCTTCTAATTCTTTCGGGAAGATACACAGCAGAGGAATAGCTGGGTCAAATGGGACTTCTAATCCTAGTTGTTTGAGGTATCTCCATATTGATTTCCACAGTGGTTGCACCAGTCTGCACTCCCACCAACAATGGAGAAGGGCTCCTTTCTCCCCACAACCCCACCAACATTTGTTATTAGTTGATTTCTTGATAGCAGCCATTCTTACTGGGGTCAAATAGGATCTCAGTGTTGTTTTCATCTGCATATCTCGAATAACCAGTGATGTTGAACAATGTTTCATATGTTTATTTGCTGCTTTTACTTCTTTGAGAAATGTCTGTTTATTTCAGATGCCCATTTTTGAATTGGGTCTTTATATTTGGGGGAATCTGATTTATATATATACATATATTTTATATATATATATTTTTTTTATATATATTCTAGATAGTAGACCTTTGTCTGAGGACAAAGCTAGTAAAATTGACTAGCGAGTAAAATTTTTTTCCCACATTGTGTGTTGTCTCTTAGCTTTGCTTGTGATTTCTCTGGCAGTGCAGAAACTTTTTAAAAAGATGAGATCCCAATTGTTGATTTTTTTGTGCTAGTTCCTATGCTACTGAGATTTGTTCATTAAGTCTCTTCCTATGCCAAGTTTTTTAAAAGTTGATGCTTGGAGGCTGGGGATTTAGCTCAGTGTCAGCATGCTTGCCTTGCAGGTGCAAGGTTCAGAGCTCAATCCCTGGTACCAAAAACAAAACAAAAAGTTGATGCTTGGAATCTTCATTTCAAATGCAGATATCAACAAGGAGGTAGTAGTGAGTCTCCTTACTACACCCATTAAAACTTTGTAGCTATCGGGCATGGTGGCATACACCTGTAAACCCAGCACTGCACTCAGGAGGCTGAGGCAGCAGGGTCACAAGTTCGAGGCTAGCCTGGGCAACTCACCCTGAAACTTTTAAAGACATTTTAAAGGGGTTAGGGATACAGCTCAGCACTATAGTGCTTACGTAGTATGTGGGAGACCCTGGGTTCCATGCACAGTACTACAAAAGCTAACCCAAAATACATCTATAGGACTGAATTGAGCACTCCTGTGTCTCATCTCTTTTTTCTTTTTAGGTAATTACTTGGACAACGCACATCAATGGCTCTAACAAAGTTGTCGCTCTCCTTGGATTCCATTGAGAGCGATTCTGAGGAGTTGCCAACATTTGCCTTCCTGAAGAAGGAACCATCTTCAGGGAAGAGGAGGCAGCCTGCCAGGGCCGGCGAGATAATCGTGGTGGACGCCTCGGACTCCGAGGCCTCCCAGGCCTCCCGACCTCCATCCCCAGGGCCGGGGGAGCCCCCTGTCCCGCACGCAGCGGTCACTCCCACCCGGGCAGAGCTGCTCGGAGTGCTGAGCAGTGGGAGCGAGGACGAGGGGGAACTTGTCCCCCTGGCCAGGAGGCTTAAATGTAAGTTTCTGACACACAGGCAGCTAAGCCCTAAGGCCTCCAGCCCCTCGGGTGAAGTTCTCGAGGATCATCAGAATGGGGGACCCTCCCATGACCGGCGAGAACCGTCCTTCCCAGAGGTCTGTGGTGTTCCCCTTGGCCACAGCTCCGAGTGGGGTGCAGCAGATAACCAGGCCCAGAGCCGTGACCCCCCGGCAGCCCGGACCACCTGTCTCATTCAGAGCCACGGATTGGCAGGAACCCAATGAGTGGGGTGCAGCAGATAACCAGGCCCAGAGCTTGGACTTCTCGTGCCGTGACCCCCCGGCAGCCCGGACCACCTGTCTCATTCAGAGCCACGGATTGGCAGGAACCCAGACGAAACCTGGCGTCGCCCCGCCTCAGAAGACAGCCAAGCACAGTCCGAAGCGGGAGAGGAGAGGCGCGCAGGGCCGAGCGAGCAGGAAGGAAAGGAAGAAGGTGGTGCCGGGCAGCAGGCTGAAGGCCCAGCGACCGGAGGAGTGCCTGAAGCACATCGTCGTGGCGTTGGACCCAGGTCCTCTTGTCTGTCTTCGCCCTGAGCCGAGCCGCCTGCGTCCCAGCCACCTCCTGACCCACCCTCTCCATGTGTTGCAGAGCTTTTGCAGGCGGAAGGCGGAGGCCAGCTCCTCGGAGCACTGCAGGCCATGAACTGCCGCTGTGTCATCGAAGCACAGGCCGTGCCCCACAGCGTCACGTGGAGAAGGGCAGGGCCTGCCGAGGTAGGGCTGTTCTGGGGAAGACTGTCTTCACCCTCGGTCCGTTAGAGTTACAGAATCAATTTTGTATTTTTGTTTATTTTCTTATTTTATTTATTTTTGTGATAGGGTCTCTCTTTGAGGTTGGCCTTAAGTTTGAGGCAGTCTTCCTGCCTCAGCCTCCCAAGTGCTAGAATTACAGGCATGTGCTGCCACGTTCAGCTGATTTTAAAATTTTATTTATTTAAGATAGAGTCTTGCTATGTAGTGCAGGCTGTCCTTGAACTCACTAGGGAGTCCCAGCTGAACTCAAACTCACAGCCTCCCAAGTGCTGGGGTGGTTCATGTTCTAATTGGAGAATTCTTTGTAAGGAGGCAGCCATTGGCCCATATAGCAGCATCCCTGGCCTCTAGCCACTGGATGCCGGTAGCACCCTTCCACTTGTGACAATCGAAAATGTCATTTGTTGGGAAAATTCACCCCTGGCATGGCTGTAACCATCCCTAAATGTGGAGGGTGGAAGTTAGCCAATGCAGAAGAGAAGAACAGAAGGGACATGTGCAGAGCAGCTCTGCTCTCTGGTAGGGGTGCGGGAAATGCCAGGTGACCCCACTGGGAGGGAGCCAGGAAGGAAACGCCCTGGCTTCTGTCCTCCCTCCCTCAGTCTTCCTGTTCCTCCCCTCCTGGGTGGGGGAGGGGAAGGAAATGGTGTCCGCTTCCTCCCCCTGAACTTTGGGAATGGGGGCCTATGTTTGAGCCCAGCCCCGGGGCTTCATGCTGTGCCCCTGGGCACATTCTCACAGAGGTTTGTGCCTTCCTTGCCTGACAGTGAGGACAGTCAGGTCACTTTCCATCCCCTCGTGTGGGCCCTGAGCTAACCCAGCACCACACCTGGTAGACACAGTACCTGCTTCTCCTATCCCTGCCCAGGCTCACTTCCTGTGCCCGTAATGCCTTGCATCCCTCCATAAATCCAGTGGCTTCACCTCATTTTCAAGAGTTTAGAGATGAGACATTAAGAATTTTTTTTTTCCCATACTGGGGATTGATCCCAGGGTCTTCATACTAAGCTACATCCCCAACCATTTTTTCTTTCTTTCTTTCTTTTTTAGTTTGAGATAAGGTCTCACTAAGTTGCTAAGTGCTTGAACTTGCCATCCTCCTGCCTCAGCCTCCCAGGGTGCTGAGTTTACAGATCTGCATCACCAGACTTAGCCTGGCTCCTTTTTTCTTTTTTAGGACTATTTTTAGGACTTTTAACCACTTTAGAATATCAGCAAACCTTTGTTTTCACACAACAGTTTAGCCTTTCTAGGTACTTCCGGGTTCTCACCTGTGTCTCCCACAGTTATCCTGCAAGGCAGGAATTCCCCACACATCACAGGCTTGGACCTGGGCTCGGGGACCTCAAAGCCTGAGTCAGGGTCACAGCTGGAGCTGGAATCCAGAGCCCCTGCCATCCACACTTTGCCGTCCTTGGACCCAGGCGGGAAACTCTGTGCAGAAGTCCCGCCGGCAGTCACCCACCATGCTGTGCTGCCCAGCTCGCTTGGGTCTTGACCATGACCCACCTGTGACGAAGAGGAGGTGCTTTTGTAAGGGCCACTCGGCTCCTAGCGTCTGCCTTCATAGCTACAGTGACTATGTGTTCTCTCTGTTTCCTTCTTCAAAATGCAGGGAAAACAATTGCTTTTTTTTTTTTTTTTTTTAATTTTTAAAACATTTATTAGTCCACGTTTGCAGGATGCAGTGATTGCTCCCCTTGCGGGACACTGGCGCAGGTACTCACATCTCTAGTCTTTCCACCTCCCCTCCCTGCTCGAGAAGTTGCTTTTCAACCCCTTTCAGTTTGCTAATGTTTCTCTTTTCTTTCCTTTCTTTGTAGCAGCGCTGGGGATGGGACCCAGGGCCTCACACATGCTGGGCAAACACTGCACCGTGAGCTGCATCCTGGGTGTAGTCATCCTTCTGTATTCAGCGTGTCTGGGGCCACTTGTGATTGGGGAGGCTTGGGGGTGGTTGTTTCTTGCCACCATGACTTCACTCAAGGAGGGTCACGCACCAGGGGCTGAGCTGAGCTGGGTGCTCATGGGCTCTGCGCCTGCTGACCTCCATTCTCGGGCTGGGTACTGGGTCCTGGGCAGGATGAAGAGGCCTGGGTGGAGGAGCCAGCAATCCTGGTGTTGCTCCTGGCAGAGGCTTTTGTGTCCATGATCAGCAACTTAAAACAGGTGAGCAGGGCCAGAGGGTGGGGGCCGTGACGTGGGACAGAGCATCCACTCCTAGCAGGGAGCCCCCATTAATCTCCTTCTGGTCCTGCCAACAGGGACTCCCAGGCAGCAGTGAGAACGGGAAGAAAACCCTCGAGGGCTTCGTCTCTGATGTCACAGCAAGGACAGGAGGGAAAGCTCTGTCCCTGGTGATTATGGATCAGGAGAAATGCTTCAGGTTTGGGGTTTTCCCGAGACTGGGTGTTAAAAGGGGTGGCCTCGGGGTCAACGAGGGAGGTCAGTCACCCCCACTGAGTCACTTCCAGAAGGTGTCCCTGGCAAGCCCTGTGGCACACACGTTTTTCCAGTCTTCATCCTCAGTTCAGCCTGGAGCTGCTGTCCTTTGATTTCCTTCCCTGCTCCAGGGCTCAGAATCCTCCCAGAAGAGGCAAACAGGGAGCTGCAAATAAACAAGCCAAGGAGAAGCAGCAGCGACTGCTCGAGTCCAGCACGGCACCCACCGTGTCCAGGGTAGACATGGAAGAGGTGAGAATGCCCTGACCCTGAGGCGGGGGATGCTCAGTGGTCATCAGCCACAGTTGCTATGGAGACAAGAAAACGCCCGCTAGATGTTTCCTGCCTTGGCACAGTGTGGACAGCCAGGCCCAACAGGGAGCACAGGTGTGGGGTAAGAATGACTTCCGGCCAGTCTCCGCCCTCCAGTCTTTTGTGGCCTTTGGGTTTCCAGGCACTGATAGATCTGCAGCTGCACACAGAAGCCCAGGTCCAGATCGTGCAGAGCTGGAAGGAGCTGGCTGACTTCACCTGCTCGGTCACAAAGGCCGTGGCCGAGGCACCTTTCAAGTGAGTGCCCCAGCCAGGCTGGCCTTCCTGCAGTGGCTGGTGGCTGTGGGAGTGCCCCATGCCCCTTTCCCTCCGCACCACAGCCAGCCCATTGTCACTTCTCCTGAGGCCCGTGGAACCAGTCCCGGCACAGCCCTCACACCAGCCCCTGTGAAGCGTTCTTTAGCTTGTGCACATTCTGCAGGTCGGAGCTGGCTTCTCGGGGGTCAGGTAGCTGGGCGCATTACAGATCAGACTACAGGAAAATAAGCCCTGGGAAAGCAAATGTCAAGGGTTGGTGTGAGAATCGTTCATTCTCAGAATTAACAATTAGTAGGGAACCTCAGAGACCATCCTGTCTCAGCCCCTTGAGACTGGAGGTCGCTGAGGTCATTGAGTTGTCTGAGCTCTAACAAGTGAGAACCACACAGACTCCGGACCCAGTCCCCCGGGGCTACTGCAGGGCAGGACAACCCCATCTCCACGCAAGCAGGAGGATTTGGTGCCTTCTCCGTAGTGCAGAGGACAAACTGTAGTTTTAAGGGAATCCACAGATAGCAGTACGCTCAGGAACAGCTGAGCACCCAAACCCCCAGAGGCTGAGATGGGCCGGACGCAACCACATCTGCCTCCAGGCTGGGGTAGGGAGGGCTTTTCAAGACCCCACTGAAATGGCAGGAAAGCTATGCTGTCCACAGGAAGCTCCGAGACGAAACCAGCTTCTCCTTCTGCCTGGAGAGCGACTGGGCCGGAGGGGTGAAGGTGGACCGTGCCGGCAGGGGTCTCGCACTGGTCTGGAGGAGACAGATTCAGCAGCTGAACCGGGTCAGCCTGGACATGGCCAGTGCTGTCGTGGACGCCTATCCCTCGCCACAGCTCCTGGTGCAGGTGCGCCGCTCCAGGGTTTACTCAGCACCGTGTCCACAGCAGGCCCCAAATGTCGTCCCTAGACAGCACTGAGGGCCCAGGCATGCCTGCGAGTTGGCCGAGGTGATCCAGGGAGGGAAGGCAGGCTCTCGTCCCCCAACCCGAGCCTCCCACCCTCCTGGCTCATGGGCAAGAGGTGACTGTGAATAGCTACAGCACGAAGGTCATTTCCTGCTTCCAGGCTTATCAGCGGTGTGTCTCCGAGCAAGAACGCCAGAACTTGGTGGCAGGCATCCAGGTGCGCCGTGGGGTGGGTGTGACAGCCACCTCCCGCCGCGTTGGCCCCGACCTGTCCAGGCGCATCTACCTTCAGATGACTGCTCTGCAGCCAGACCTCTCTCTGGACAGCGCTGACTGACCCCCAGCGGGGGAGATCTCTACCTCCCCAACTTTGGGACGTGGTGGAAAGCCCAGCCCAGCCCAGCCTTTGTTCTCCTGTCTGAGTTTCCTCCCCATTTCCGGACAGAGGGTGACACCTGCACCTGCCTTCACTTACTAGCCCCTTGCAGCAAAACCAGCTGTCCCCGCCAGCCCGAGACAAAAGGAACACAGATGGACCACTCAGACACAGATTTAATAACTGCAGAAATCTGAAAGAATCAGCATCAAATCTCGAAGTCGGAGTGAACGCTGGCCCGTGGCTGAGCTGCCTCGACCAGCCAGGAACTTGACTTGGCTGACTTCTCTTTCCACAACGTCATCATATGTATTGTTTATTGTTTAGTTTTAATAAAGCATTTGGACCCATGGCCCTGGAGCTTGGAGGAAGACTAAAGGAATGTAGTGATCGAGTAAGGTGAGAACCTACGCACAGAGCTACCTGCGGGGAGGAGAGCAAAGGCCTTTCTTCCATTATCAGGACCATCTCGAGGGACAGAGTTCTCGGGGGCCACTATAGTGAAAAGCTGGGCCCCCTCTGTCTCTCAGCTGTGACAGGGTCTTGCGCCCTTGACAGGAGCCTGCGGTCAAGAGCTGAGCGAGCACCAAGTCAGGCGTGCTGCCCTCACGCGCGCTATCTGTAGTGTGCACCATTGCCGGCCCCAGGGCGCTGCTGGTCTCCCTTCACTTCCTGTCCCACCCACTCCTCCCCTCCTATTAGATGGCCAGAGCCACACTTCTAAGCCTCAGTGTCTGAGAAAGCTGTTTGCAGGTTGCCTTTGAGGTACGCGATCACTCAGCCCTGGGGGAAGGGTCAGACCGAGCCGGGAGTCCATCCGTCACTGCTGGGAGCCACGTAGGAAGGCGCAGGACCCCCACCTGGGTGCTGCCGAGATCCCAGGCACTGGTGCTCTGCGGTGAGGGCTGGACCTGTCTACTGTGCGAGTCTACACTCGGCTGAGACGCAATTCTGGCAGGGGTTCTGTTCTCTTAGGACGTTATTTATAAAGGAGGCCAAATGATGTCAAGGAAAGAGAACGAGGGGAGTCTGTTCTGCCCCGGAATGGCGGGGACACTGACACTGCAGGTGAGTCCTGGGAGCGTAAGTCGGACTGACGGTGGCAAAGCGCCTTTCACAGCCCGGTTCTGGTCACTGAGATGCTTGGGGGTCAGGTCCTGAGGAAACCGGGGCACCCCTCGCCCGGCTAGGGCTGGATGTGCTGCGGGACGCCCCCTGGTCCGCAGCAACACTGTCTCCCGATCCGCCCCGGTCCCCCGGGGAGGAATGAAAGAAAGGGTTGTGACATACAAAAGTATAAATGTAGTGACAGCTAACCATTTAGTAGAAACGCGCCTTGCCTTTAGACAGCTTCAGTAATAACTAGAAAAGGCTACTCCTTCAGGCATGCAGGTCACTCCCTCCCACCTCCCATTCCTCCTCCTCCTCCCTCCAGGGAGCCCTGACTAGGGACGAAGAAGTCCTACGAGAGGAGGCCTCAGGTACCGGTCGGCAGCCATGGATGACGGCAGGTGAGTCTGACGCTAGAGAGGTTGTGTCCAGCAGAACCCAATTCCATAGGAATCCAAGCTCCGAGGCTGGGAGGCGCAGCGGCCGGGCCGGCTCACTGCTGGGAGTCGGGCTGCAGGACCCACCGGAGGATCTCGTGGCGGCGCAGCCCTCCTACGAGAGGAGGCCTCAGGTACCGGTCGGCAGCCATGGATGACGGCAGGTGAGTCTGACGCTAGAGAGGTTGTGTCCAGCAGAACCCAATTCCATAGGAATCCAAGCTCCGAGGCTGGGAGGCGCAGCGGCCGGGCCGGCTCACTGCTGGGAGTCGGGCTGCAGGACCCACCGGAGGATCTCGTGGCGGCGCAGCCCCCACCCAGGACCGAGCCTGCTTCCGGGGCGGTGGCTTGCGGGGTCGGGAGCCAGACTTGGATTCTGGAAGGACAGATCACAGTGGACAAAAGAAGTTCCGTTAGTGTGAGGAGACCCGCTGTCCACCCCGCACATGCGTCTGCTCCACATGGAGCCACCTACCTTTCCTCAGACCCTGCAGAGAAAAATCAAAGCTCTTAAAAACTATCCTTGCAGGCCAGGGATTTAGCTCCATGGCTCTGCCCCCCACCTCGCAAGCACAAGGGCCGGAGTTCCATCCCAGGTACCAAAAAAAAACAAAAAAAAAAAACCTCTTTGCTGGGAGTGGTGGCGCACACCTGTAATCCCAACACTCGAGGCTGAGGCAGGAGGACTGCCTGGAGTTTGCGGCCAGCCTGAGTAGCTCAGAAGGGCTGGGGATGCAGCTCTGAGGTAATGCCCGCATGTAATCCCCAATACCAGCCAGAAACCTGCTCTCCAGAGACTGAAACAACCGTCGTCTCCCTGAGATCCCCAGAGACCTCAATGGAAACGAACCCAGGCTGTGTGTGCCTGGCAGCTTGGTCCCCAGGGTCCCTCAGGGTTGCGGGGTGGGGGTGGGGCCCAGGTGCAGACTCACTCACACTGCGCACTGGGCGCGAGAGCCCAGATGGTGACAGAATACACCGTTGTGATCAGTGATCACAAGGGGGAGCAGGGCTGTCGGCACTCCTATCTCCCGAGATTATGCGATTGTCTTTCCTAAAGCCTGGGCTGGCGACATGGCTCAGCGGCACCTCGCCTGTGTGGCAAGCATAGGTCCCGAGTTCAATCCCCCGTATCCACTCCCTCACACCCAGGCAGGAAAGTGAGACCGCGGCCTGCACGTCACTCAGTGACAGCCAGGGGCTCCGCACTGTGCCCGCGGGAAGCTTTCAGAGTGGAGCTTACTCGGGGCCTGATTTGCCTCCTTCTTGGGCTTCTTCTCCTGCTCCCGCTTGGAAGCCTTGAGGGCGTCGTACTCCTTCTTCCGCCGCTCCTTCTCTTCCGCCTTTTCCCGCTTCCGCACCTCGCGCTCCTGAGCCTCCTTCGCTCGCTGCTTGGCCTCCCGCTTCTTCTCCGCCTCTGCAACAGAACCCCTCAAATGTGACTCTCCCCTCCCGCCCCCACAGCCTGCTTTCCCAAGTGACTCGGTGTGGGTCCGGCCTCTCTGTCCCGTATGCCAGGGGCCACTTAAGAAATAATGTAGAAAAGCAGCAGGTGTGGCGGTGCACACTCTGGGAAGCTGAGGCGGGAGGATCACAAGTTCAAACCCAGCCTGGGCTATTTAGTAAAACAGTCTCAAAGATAAAAGGCACTGAAGAAAGAGGCCCTTGGTTCAATCCCCAATACCACACAAAGAAAAAAAAAAAGAAAAAACCAGGTGTAGTGGCGCATGTTTGTAATCGCAGCTACCCAAGCGACTAGGCAGAAGTCTGGTGGTAAATTTGACACCAGCCCGGGCAGCTTAGCAAGGCCCTGTCTCAAAATTTTCAAATAAATGAATGGGTTGGGGTATAGTTCAGAGGTAGCGCACTCGCTGGTGTGCACAAGACCCTGGGCTCCATTCCAGTATCACACACAGGAAAAGGGAAGGACCAGGAGTGGGAGGATCAGGTGAAAGTATAGGGCTAGGAAAAGAGGCGTGGGTAATGAGCCTGGCACCCCCAGGTACCCATTCGGAAGGCAGAGCCAGCCCCACACTGCACCCGCAACTGGGGTGGGAGGGTCACTGGAGCCCAGGACTTCAAGAACAGCCTGGGAAACAGCAAGACCCTGTGTTTTTGTTAGTAGAGACTGAGCTCAGGGCTTCTGCACTTAGCTATCTTCCTAACCTTTTTACTTTCTGAGACCTGGTCTCACTAATTGTCCAGATTGGGCTTGAACTTTCAATTCTCCTGCCTCATCCTCCCAGAGTGCTGGGATCACACGTGTTTACCACCATTCCCAGCTAAGACCCTAATGAAACAAAACAAAAGAGGGCTGGGGGTTTTTAGCTCAGTGGTGCCGCCACCTGCCTCGAAAGCTCAAGGGCCCAAGTTCAATCCCCGGTACCAAAAAAAACAGTTGGCAGCCTCCTAGGACTCAGCTAAGAAAAAAATGTCAGAAACGAGCCTTGCACTGGGAAGGGGCAAGTGAGAGGAAATGAGCAGTCGCAGCTGGGGTAGAGGCAACCACCACGTTTTTCTAAGTGACACAGTTTGTCAGAACCAACTCCTGACTTTAACTCAGAAATCTTTTTTAGATTTATTTTTTTGGTACCAGGGATTGAACTCGGGTCCTTGTGCTTGTGAGGCAGGCGGCAGAACCACGGAGCTAAATCCCCCGCCCTAACTCAGAAATCTTATGTAAAAAAGATTTGCTCAGCAACTCAAATCTGTTTACACTAGTGCCCGACTTCCAAATTACTGGGTTCTAAAACTGCATCTCCCAGTTGGTTATTTGGAGGCCTGAGATACATTTTTCCAAAGGCAGGATGCCGCAGAATGGTGGTTAGAGGTCCCCTTAGGGGCCCTGATGTGGGAGCAGCAGGACTGCGTCCGTGTCTGTGCTTCCTCTGGCCTGCCTGCGTGCAAACTGGCCGCACCACACCCAGTCCCAGAAACCCAGAGGGCAAGGAGCGAGAGCAGGGTCACTGCGAGCTCAGGCAGACATGTACTGCCATGGTGGCCGCACCCGGAAAACACTGGCACGTCCTCCTCCGGCCACACAGCCTGGGTCAGGGCACTCAGAGTCCCACTGCACGCCACGCCCAGATGCCCAGCAGAGGGGACAGTGCTGCTTCCAGCCAGCAAGAGCCCAGGTGACAGCAGAGGATCAGTGGCAGCGTGAAGGACAGGGGACGGGGAACACTGGCCTGCTGGCCGTCAGAGAGCCTGGGTCTCATCTCCAGTTCAGCTTTAAGCTGACGGTAACATCACTGATGTCAGAAAATCTTTCCCATGGCTGGGCGTGCAGCTCAGAGGGGCGCTGGCCTCACCCTCTGATCCCAGCTTGGGGAAAATCGCTCTCGTGTCTGGAATGGAGAGCAGGGGATGGCAGTGGAGATGGGGGAGTCCGCAGGACAGGGACTTGTTTCAAAGGGGGTGGAGACAGAGTCACACAACAGACTGGAGGTGGGAACAATGGAGGAAAGGAAGCCAGGCACCGTGCGCACAGTGTAATCCCAGCACTCGGGAGGCTGAGGCAGGAGGATCGCTGTGAGCTCAAGGACAATATGAACTACATAGCAAGACCCTGTGTCTAAAACAGAACAAACAAAAGCAGGAGGGGAATCGCAGACACTGTTCCTGTTTCAGCCTTCAATGAGCCTGGGGATTGTGAATTCCTTCATGGGGGACTGAGGGGACCAGGGCTCTGTTTTAGCCTTGTCCATATGAATGCTTAGCTCCTCCAAACACAGGATAGTCGCTGTCACTCTAGCTCTGGAGTCACTGGACACAGTGATGCCGTCCCCACCTGACTGTCCAGCCCACACCGCACTCGGCAGCACCCTGTGGACTCCAGCAGAGAGGGCTAGGAGGGGGATGGACACCTACCTCGCTCCACTTCCAGCCGCCGCTGCCTCTCTCGCTCCTGATCCGCCTGCACGGCCTTCATGTGCTGTAACACCTGCAGGGACGGGAGCCGCTTGGTCAGGGTTCTGAGCGCCCAGTACAGGGAAATGAGATGTTCCGAGACTCGCCCAGCAGCGCAGGCAGCAGGCCCAGCCCTCGCCCTGCCCTGGCTTCCCCATCCCTCAGCAGAGGCTGCTGTAACCCACCACTGTGCCTGTGCGTGGGTGCCCAGGTCAGAGGGCAGCAGGGCAGGGCCCACAGGAACCTGCCGGGCACACAACAGGAAGGAGAACAGCAAGCAGCTGGGGGAGCGTGGCTTAGTGCTGCAGAGGGTGCAAAAACACCGTCGCCATGGCCGGGGCAGAGGTGAAAGCCCCACATCTGCCCAACTGCAGCCTCGGCAGTGACTGAACCCTCCAAGCCAAGTTCCTGAGGTGGAAAACAGACCGTGCTTGTGCTGCCTTGCGCGTGGCACAGGTTAATGTGCACGGCTGCCCAGCCAAGCCCCCGCGTCCACCCAGCTCAGAGATGCCACTGCCCCACTGCTCCGGCTTTGTTACAGGAGACAGACTCGGACTGTTCTAAGAAGCAAATACATCTGACTGCAGCTCATGTGTGCGCAGACGTGATTCTGTCTTGTTTTATGTTATTTAAGACAGGGTCTCACTGTGTAGTTCAGGCTGACCTCAAACTCAAGACAATCTTCCTGCCTCAGCCTCCAGAGTGCTGGGATCAGTGGTGTGCACCACGACACACATACCTGGCTCAAATATAATTCTTTTCCTGCAAAACTTCAGGTACGTAAAGAGGGCTTCAGGAGCAGAAGAGCTTCCCCACAGAAGCCTGCGTGAAGCCAAAAGGAACTCTGTCCCGAGAAACCCAGCCCTGGAGCCTGCTGCCATCACCCCCAGTGGGGGTCAAGCTTACAGAAACAGCTGCTCCGCCCTCTCAGTGTGTAGGAGCCGGGGTGAGGGCTGCACAGGTTCAAAGCTCCAACCTCACAGAATAGTTTGTTGTTTTGTTTTTTGAGATAGGGGCTCACTATGTAGCTCAGGCTGGCCTTGTGAGCCTCCTGGGTGCTGTGATTACAGGTGTGCACCCCCAGTCCCATGACACATGGGTTCCTGTACCAGTAGGTAGGGTGAAGGGTGAGCCACAGACGCAGCTCTTCCTGGGTGAAGGTCCCCGTCAGGCACACACGGTCCTCGGCACAGTTCGGCCCAGGAAGCCATCTGGTGCCCAGCGGAAATGACAATCTGCCCTGAAGCTGGAGGGAAGCGGCTGGAGCCGGGGCCCCCGAGAGGTGGTAAGGAGCAGGGCACACGTCATGGATGCTGGCCACCAGCAAGACCGCCTCGTGTGGCACCTTTAGTCCTCACTCCTATGTCACATGACCCAAGCCGATACCACATCTGCCCAGGACCTGTTTATAGCTACAAATCTAACACCTTCATCGTCAAAATTCCCTCGACCACTGGGCCCCAGAAAGGCCGTGGTCCCTAGGGCTGGGGGTGACCCCATGTGGAGTGCTTGCCTGGAAAGGCCTGAGTCCCCACCCCTCTTGTCCCCGTAAACAGCTGTCAACATCAAGCCACCTGGAGCACGTGAGTCCCAGTTTCCTAAAAGGGGCAACAGGGCTACGCGGCCAAGAGTGTCGTCCGACCCCTGACACGCAGGCCTGTGCTGCCGGGCGAGGCTGCCTTCCCGGAAACCTCAGTGCTTTCATCACCACAGAGCTGCGGGAGCCCGGGGAGCACATGGCAGGTACAGGGGAGCGGGCTCACCTTGTTCGCACACTGCTTACACTGCTTCTCATCCAGGCAGTCGCCAGCTACTTTGGCCAGCACAGGATCCAGAGGGTTGTCCTTCAGGTCCAGCCACTTCAGGTTCTAGAGCGACAGAGGTGGCTGAGCCCCGGCACACACAGGCCCTGAAGGGGAGCCAAGGGGGCAGGACCGCGGCATCTGAGGCGGGCCTGCAGGGGACAGCGGGTGAGTGTGTGAGCCCTCCTCGGCCCGCCCTGGCGCAGGGAGTGTCACCTTGAGCTGCGCGAAGCTGACGGGCAGGGTGACCAGCCTGTTGTTGAGGAGATCCAGGTGCTGGAGGTTGACCAGGCGGCCAAAGTCGGCCGGCAGCTGCTGCAGCTTGTTCTTGCTGAGGTCCAGCTTCACCAGGTGCGTGAGGCCACAGAAATCCGACTAGGGCCAGAGAAGAGGGCATGCTTGGGCTGGGCCCTGTGTGCTCTGGTGGAACCGTACAGCCCTCCTCAAGTACTCAGTCTTGGGACTGGGAGCACCTAGCACAGCACTTCGCTCAGGTGCACCGGTATTCTGGAATAACTGAGTGGCTGCGCCCACCCCACCATAACCTGGTGTCCTGCGCATGGACCCGGACACCCTGACCCTCAGCCTCTGGTACCACCTTGGCGGATGTGACACCATTCACAGCCTCCAAGGCCTTAGGGATGCCATGGGCGCTGCGGCCAGCAACACAGAAGCTGTCAGGGCAGAAAAGAGGCCACACACATTGAAGTGCGCCTGGGGGTGCTGAGGGACAGGCAAGGGGGACAGCAGGTATGAAGTTTGGGAAAAGGGGGGACCTCAGAGGCTTCTTGATGTCAGAAACAGCTTCTGACAAGCTGTGTAAAGATGCTACCAACTGACGGGCGCAGAAGAATACTGACGGCCATGTTCTAACAACTCAGCGGAGGCTGCCAGCTGCTCAACTGGGGCCTTGGGCCACAGCCCAGCAGGAAGCCACCCTGCAATAGGTAAGGTTGGCCAGGGGGAGGGGTGGAAGCCCTCAGTGACAGCAGACGAAGACTGGCAATGTCAGAGCACTGCTGAGGCGGAGGGCAGCCCTACCCAGCAGAAGGTCCAGTGCCTCTACACAATCAGCAAAAGGGGAAGCAGAAGAAGCTGCACAAGGGCCGGGGATTTAGCTGTGGATCCGCTGCCTGCCCTGCAAATGCAAGGTCCTGAGTTTGATCCCTGGTACCAAAAGGAAAATTTAGGAGAAGCCACACAAGACAGATTCAAAAGGCCAGGGTGTGTGTGTGTGTGTGTGTGTGTGTGTACACGCCAGGGAGCCATTCACTTTCTCCCTAGAATTCAGAGCAACTTACAAAGTGATCTCTGGCCTCCTCCATGCTACAAGGAGGTAAATGACTTTTCAAAGGACTAAAACAAAGCAGAAAAAAAAAAAAAAAGAGCCCAGCAAGCGACTCAGCCAGCATCCTGTGGCCTTTCCCGCTGTTCTGAAGAATGAGGCCTGCACCTTGACTCCCTTTCCCTGCCCACACCCTCCCTGCACCACAGAACTGCTCCGCTGGGGCCCGCCTGGAGGCCTATCCTGAAATGATACCATCAGGACCCCTACTGTGTCCCGAGAACAGAAGGAGCCCTATCCAGGGCTCCAGGAGTCAGGACGTAAGCTCACCGGCAGGGTGTTCAGTTTATTGCAGGACAGATCCAGTATGGTGGCCTTTGGAAGCGCAGCCTAAAGACAGAGATGAGAAAAACACATTAAACCAACACCTGGAGCAATTGGGCGACATCTGCTAAGGAAGCATTTTCCACAGAAAGTTTTCCCATGATCGGGAAAGGCCTTTAAGAAACAGCACTGAAGGACCGGGAATTTAGCTCAGTGGTTCCGGCACCTTCCTAGCGCAATGACCCAAGTTTGGTCCCCAGCACCAAAATAAGAAAGAAAAAAGAAACACCACAGGCTAGGTGTGCTGGCACACCCCTATAATCCCAGCAATCGGGAAGCTGAGGCAGGAGATCACCTCGAGTTTGAGTTCAGCCTAGGCTACACAGTGAGTTTAAGGCCAGCCTGGACTACATAGGGAGACCCTGTCTAAAAAAACAAAACAAAACAAAACAAAAACCAGCAAGCCAGGCACAGAAGTCCACATCTATAATCTCAGCACTATGGGAGGCTGAGGCAGAAGGTTCACAAATTCATGCCCCACATGGGCAAAAGCAGGGCTAGAGTTCAACCCCCAGTACCACCAAAAACAACAACAAAAAAAAGACACCAAAGGTATGATATTCCTGAGGATAAGGGGCTAAAGGAGCCAGTCAACATGGCTTAAGGAAAAAAAAAAAAATGCAAAAAGGAGGGGTTTGGCTGTGGAACACCCAAGAGAGGAAAACACATCAAATCTTAGAAATTCTCCATAACACTTTTAAAATTTTCTCTAGCACCCGCCTCAGGTTTCAGGCCAGGGTGTTCGTCTATCGAAGCTCTGCAGTCTGGTTCTCCCCAGTGCAGGGTCTCCTCAGAGAAGGCCCCTGACACCCACATGGTGGGTACCTTGAGGCTGAGTAGACAGGTGAGCTGGGGAACCGGAGTGCGGGCGCGGCCCTCACCATCCGCTCTTTCCCCTGGTGGCCTGGGCTGCAGAGGCTCTACAAAGGTGACTCTTTTGCCCCAGGGACTGTGCTGACCAGATTCCTGGAGTAACCAGTTTCAGGCATCAGTCCTAGGGCCCGGCTGAAACAAGGCTGGCCTCTTCCCGTGCAGGAAAGAAAGCAAACATTCAGTTAGGCCAACCCGCATTCCTAACCGCCAGGAAATCCTAAGAGTGTGGTTTGACCACCTAAAAAAAGTTTTGGAGCCAGGCCTGATGGAGCACACCTGTCATCCCAGCACTCAGAAGGCTGAGGCAGGAGGATCACCTGGTGTTCCAGGCCAGCCTGGGCTACATAGTGAATTCAAGCCCAGCGTAAACTATGCAGCACGACCCTGTCTCAAAAAACAGACAACAAAAAAAATTTTTTTTGGATTCTACCACGAGAAGAAGAGCACGAAAACTTCTGCATCTATGGACATCTGCTACCTTCCAAGCATTCTATGCTACATTTTAATCCTCACAATCAGTAAGGGAGATGGGTGCTGTTGGCTCCATTTTATAAAGTGAGGAAGTCCAAGCAGAAAGGTTAACTTGCCAAGGGCACTCAGCAACTGGGCAACAGAGCTGGGATATGAACTGGGAATCCCAGTCCACCACACTCACACAGCCCCGGCAGTGGTGGCAGGCATACTGGGCCAAGTGCCAAGGGCGAATGTAATTTTAAAGGCGCTAAGAAAAGTGTAGGTCATCGAAAGTGAGGCCAGCCGGCCGGACGGATGTTGGGATCTCAGTTTGGAGATCTCCAGCTCCAAGTTTGCATTTAACTGGGTGTGTGATCTCCCAGGGGTCTCCGCTTTCCGGCTGGGTGATGGGCGGAATTCCCAGATTTCAGCAAGACTGGGATGAGATTTCACTTTCTGCCAGGATCGCCTGGGGCAGCCAGCTGGGAGTGCCAGCTCCCTAGAAAAGCCAGGTTCCGCGCCACACCCAGGCCTAGCAGAAGGGCCTGTGTCCCTGGCCCGTTCATTCATTCTCCAATCCTTTGCAACCACCAACCACCGCTCAGCGGACTCCCGCTTGGGTCCCACATGGAGCAGGGCGCTGCGAAAGTCCCCAAAGCAAGGACAGATTCATTCTGGGCCGCTAAAAAGCCCGGGCAGGACTAGCAGATCGATTTCCCGGTCTCCTGGAACTGCGCCAAAGTGACACGTGTACATCCAGAACCCTGGGGCCGGACGCGGCCTCCCCGGGGACGCCGTCCGCACAGCCACTTTGTTTTAAAGATGGGGAAACTGAGGCTCGGGACGGGAGGCGGCCCCCGCAGGGGCTTCTAGGCCTCGCGGGGGGTGTACTGACCAGCTCCTTGACGGGGACCTCATTCAGGTCGCTGAGGCTCAGGTCCAGCTCGTTGCCGTCCAGCTTGTCGCGGAGGTTCCCGCCCTTGCTGCCCGACTTGGTCATGGTGACGCCGGCTGAGCGGGCCCTGGCTCCGGAGGGGCAGGCGTGGAGGGCTCAGTGGCCGTCGTCGGTTCACAGGACCAGGACCCAACGGAAAACGCCTGCGTTTAGTCGCCGCCGCTGCGAGGCCGCTGC